TTGCCTTCCTCACCCTTGAAATTCTCCTCGTTCCAGCTTATCCCGATTCCCCGGTAACCTTAATTATGCCTGCCCGGATCGTGTCGATTCTTGCTGAGCGACGACACGGAAGGATTTCCTCAAGGATGACCTGAACGTGGTCCTGCCGCGTCCCCTCTCTGCGGGTCACCTGTAGATGAGGCAACCTGGGTTTCTGCCCGCTCTTGCGGAAGCGGCGCCGGGCCTGGAAAAGAAGCCAGAGGAGCGCCACTCGCCCCGCTCAACTCCAGGGGGAACCACTGGGGGGCGCTTACGGGCCGGGACCGCTCAAGCAGCTCTAACAGTGCCTCCTGCTGCATTTTTAATCGGCTTTTAGTACGTGATGGGGTTGTTGTTTTTTTAAATGTAAGCCGCCAGGAGTCACCTGTGGGTGAGTTGGATGGCTATGTTAATTTGTGTAATGAATTGAGCCCTGAAAACAAAAGCAAATGGACACCTGGAGGCAGCCGAGAAGTCACAGAGGGCAGAGGAAGCTTCTCTTTGAAGGACTCAGCCACAGGGAGCAACGGAGGACACGGTTTACGGTCCGTGGCTCTAGCATCCGACCTCAGGAGGGGAGTAGAGCCTCCTCACTCTAGAGGAACGTAGAGTCACCACCCTAAGGTGACCTCGCCAGACTATTCGCTTTGCTTGGGGTCTCCTGCATTTGTTCTGCTCGTGATCCCTGTAACCCCGCATGCCGATGGAGGCCCCTTCCCTCCGTCCATTGCCACCTGCCCCGACTCCTTCTTTAGGTGGGCATTTTCCCCACCCCCTCACAGGCTGGAGTAGCTGGCAAGAGCAGAAAGGCAAGAGCAGGGGCAGTCTGATCTGTTGCTTGCAGGCCCTGCCGTGCCGTCTTCCTCCCTGATCCAGGATCCGCTTCGGGATGCTTAGCAAGGATTGTGGGGACCAAATTCTGCCATCAGAGACTCTGCAAAAGCAAGCCGGGAGAGCTGCTGCACCGAGAGGCCTCCGAGGGGCCGATTCTGCCATCTGACTCCACAAGAGACAGGAATCACTCAAGACTCATTTGTCAAGAGGGACAACTATAGAAATCAATTAAAAATAACAGTAAAGGGCAGTGGAACAGCTTGATGCCGGTGAGGGTCAATGCAACAAGGAAAAAGATTCTGGGTGTTTGTTGTCTGCTTTAACCTGCTCGTTGGTGTCCTGCGTCCCTTGAGAGGGGAGGCTGCCTGAAAACTGGCGGCCCCTGGGCTGTGGGCGCCCTGCCCCTTTAAGACCTCCCCCCAGCCAGCCCAGCAAGGGGCAGCGGGAGAAGCCAAGCAGAAGAGCAGCTGGGTGTGTGGGAGGAGTCCTGGAAGGGAAGGAGTGGGGAGGTGGTCTCTGTGGAAATAAAGCCCCTGGAAGCAGCCCAGGGCTGTGGCCGCCTCTCGCAAGTGGCCAGACTAGCCCCATGTTCAACAGGGGAGGCTTTAAGGACCTATAAGCACTCTTTCTGCAAGTAGTGAATTATGCTCACAATCCTGTGCAGATACGATGCCACGCCTGACACCTGTAGGCAGACGTTTAGAAGTTATACCTTTAACAAACATGGGGGTGGGGGGGATTTACGAAGTGTGGGCCAGGTTGGAAGATGGTTGAGGCCAAAGCAGGGGAAGGGGTGGTAATTCTAGAACAGATTCTGCAAGGACTCCTTACACAATTGAGGATTTGGGTGAAGGAACACAATCCAGAGTTGGGTCAGAGGGCAGCCGAACCAGCCGAGAAATGCACGGCCCCAGGGAAGTCAGATTGGAAAAAAAAGATGGAGGGAGGAGGGAGAGAAAGAAATAAGAAAGGCTGTTCCAGCAAGTAAGAGCTCCTAAGGGGCTGCCAGAGAGAAAGGCAAACTGAGTAGGGAAACTTTGAGCTCTCAGCCAAGCCCCAAAGGAGGAGGACGGGAGCCAGGGAGACAAAAGTAGTCACTTGTCCAAGCACTGTAAAGGCCAGAGGAAAAAGGGAATGGCTGTCGCTGGGGTCAGGCAAACTTCTCTGGGAAGAATAATCAGGATCCCAGCAAAAGCTAATGGGGTCCCCGTGAGAGACTTAATAGATGCTGGGAGTAGACAAACAGTGGTAAAAAAAAAGGGCTGGATCGGTGGGGAAAGAGCCCCTGACAGGGGCTTCTGAGACGGTCACCCTGCTGAAAGTCAACCAGGCACCGGTGGTGGGAGTGATCCCTCACTTGCCACATAACCTACTACTGGGTGCAGATGTTGGACTCAGAGAAAAGAGTAGAGAAAGAGGGGAGTAGCAGCACGGGCAAAGAAAAGGAAGAGAAACAGCAAGGCAAGGAGCCTGGGGTCCTTCCTAGCCATCCTGATTCAGCAGAAGCAAAGGGTCCCAGGAAGGTGAAAGCTTCACTGACAAAGCGGGGGGGGGGGAGGCTCCAGAGGGACAGAGAGGCCGGGATGGGAGGTGTAGCTTGGGGCCCTTGCAAAAGAAACAGCCCACATTAAAACATGATTGGTTAGCCACGGAAAAAGAGGGGAACAAGGACACCATGCCAGGATTCCAGGAAAAGGAAGGCCTGCTGCACACATAAGGCTTCATCCCTACACAAAGGGGCTGACTGAAGAAATATCCTCAAGGATATCACAAAGTGATATTTGGACCCATGAAAGTCCATGTGCCACGGTATGTCTAGTTTAACAAAGAGAAGGACTGGGAATGACATGATAGCAGTATTCCAATATCTCAGGGGCTGCCACAGAGAAGAGGGAGTCAAGCTCTTCTCCAAAGCACCTGAAGGCAGGACAAGAAGCAACGGATGGAAACTAACCAAGGAGAGAAGCAACCTGGAACTAAGGAGAAATTTCCTGACAGAACAATTAACCAGTGGAACATCTTGCCTCCAGAAGCAGTGAAGTTTGCCTCCAACACTGGAAGCTTTTAAGAAGAGACTGGACAGCCATTTGTCTGAAATGGTGTAGGGTTTCCTGCCTGAGCAGGGGGTTGGATAGAAGACCTTCAAGGTCCCTTCCAATATCATCAGTCAGGGATTGGCAGAGAGGTGTAAAACCCGCCTTGTGTGCCACAAGGGGAAGAAGACAAAGTCCCCATGGAAAGGGGTCCTTCAGCCCCCATCCCCTTTTCTAAAGTCGCCATGGATATGGTAGGCCCATCACCAGAATCTAGTAAAGGCAGCGAGTATATCCTGGCGGCCTGTCACTACGCAGCTCGGTGTCCAGAAGCAGTTCCATTAGGGAACTCTGACCGCTAAGCGTGTCACAGAGGAGCTGGTAAAGATTTTCACACAAGATCCTGATGGATTAAGAAACCAATCGGCGCTGCTGAAATATCTATATGCAGACTTAGGAATAAAATGGGTGCCTACCAGTTCTTACATGCAGGGAGAGATGCGCAGATCTGTACATTGGAGAATCAAAACAACCGCTTCACGATGGCATGGCACAACATAGGAGAACAAACCCATCAGGACCGGGCAAGGCCGCTCTTTCGAAGAGGACCACTGGTTTGAAAGAGGGGTCAAGAAGCCATCTACCTTAAGCCTGAACAGCCCTCTCAACAGAGGGGGGGAATAGGACACCACCCATTTCCTCTTTATACCACCATCCTTTCAGCAGTCCTAAGAAAATTCCACAGCCATTGGCGCTATTCAGATGACCCTGGGGGCGCAGATAAACCTCCCGGTGGCCTCCACAACTCTCAGAAAGAGCACTAACAACCAGATGACTGCAAGGAATATAAATCCTTCCATTCTTCACCATTCAGTCAGAACTGAAGAAGCTTCTTGGATGAGTAGCAAAACATCTTCAGGGAAAAACAAAGTCCACTTGCCTTTGGAAAAAAGCATCGGTGGGACAGTCCTTACAATGCACAATAGCATGCAATGGTCTTACAAAAAGGAGGAACCAAGCCCCAAAGAATATGCTCAGGAAATATGCTGGCCAGGACCCAAAGCACTGGGATACATGGCTGCCTGTCCTACTGTTTGCGTATGGCGAGATTCTCCAGGCATCCAAGGATCTGGCCCACTTGAATGATTGATTATACGGAAGACGACCTCCTGGTGTTTTAGACATCGTTAAAGAAGGTTGATGTGGAAACCTAAAAGGCCCAAACAATCTGACTGAGTATATCCTGACACCACGGAGTAAGCTAACAGCCCAAGGAGACATCGCCCAGGAACGCTTAGCCACGCCAGAGAAGGCCAGAAGCCCCCTTGTGATCGAGGTTTGGGCGTAAAGAACCTGTGGCCATCCTGAAGATATTCCTGCATTTGCTCCTCTCCATCTTTTGCGATGTCCTGCGATCTCTGGGCAAAGCAAGGGGGGGGGAGAGATGATTCCTGACTCCCTAAATGGTTGTGGTGGCCAGGTGGGTGCTTGTCAATGTCCATGTATGTCTTTGTGCTCATATAACCCCCCCCCCACACAGACACACACACTGTGGAGCCGTGCCTCTCAGGAAAGAGGGAGGAAGCGAAGGCTGGAGCCCTGCAGGAGCCATCCTGACAGCCCAGGACTGCTGTGAGGAGCACCCCAGACCTCCTGTCCCACTGAACGAGTGGGGTGTGTCCCAGGAGAAGCTGATGTGTTGGACCTCTGTGCCTCAGCCTCCTTTCCACCCTCCCCTCCGGCAGGGTGGACCACAATAGGAAACGCCAGCAGCTCCCCATGATTGTGAAGGGGGGCTCAGTGGGGCACGGGATGAGGCACAATGGGCATTCCCCCCCTCCAAATACTCATCTTGGGAAGCTCCAACGTGGGCAGGACACGGCCTTCCAAGCTTAACACCCTACTTGAGCAGAACTGAATCAGTTGTTAGGATGTGTGAACCAGGCCAGGAGGGGCAGCCTGGCCGCTCCGGGTTCCCACAATGGCAGCTACGGCTACTTTGCAAAGAGTCACTATAGCCGGTAAACCTGGATGGGTGCAGAACAGCCGCAGCTGCTGGGTGTCACAGAAGTGATGAGCCCCCTTAGTGCATAGCTTTATGAAATATTCCTCAAATAACATCAATCAATTTAAATATTTAATTTAAATATCAATTTGATATTTAATATCAGTGGCACTTTGCCGGCAGTCCTGAGCAGAACTGCTGTGGATGAATTGAAAAGAAATTGGTAGGAAGGAATTAGAAAAACTTCCATCACCCCCAGAGAAGTGGAATTGCTGGAGGCTGCGGCTCGTGTCAGGCAGTTCTGCCTGTTCTGGGTCAGAACACTGCCACTGGGCCTGACCCTGGCTGCCTGGGCACATGCGGAGCACTTGGACCAGCCTCGCCCCACAGCAGGAGATGGTGACACTGGTGGCCCTGGAACCCTGCTGGGCTTTTACTGGGGCAAACTGGACACCTGAAGTGACAATGCCCTGACTTCCTGGCAGCCCCCCAGAAGCGCCCAAGAGAGCACCCTGGTTTCCCATCCTCCGCTTTCCAGTCCCCCCACTTGCCCCTCAGCCATTTGGGTGCCCCAAGAGTGCCCCAGTACAGCAAACGTGGTTTATTTGGGGACGAGGGGAAACCCAGTTCTCATTTTGGTGGGCACTGGAACAGATAGTTGCAGTTTAACTTTTTCCACCTGCTCCTCTCCCTCCTTGCTCCTGCGTTGTAGTGCAAATGGTCCACAAGACAGTCCTGTCAGCAGTTCCAGGAAGGACCCGCTCCCATTTGCACTACTCAGGTGACCCTGAGGACACAGGTAAACCTCCAAGTGGCCTCAATGGCTCTTATCTAAAAGAAGGCAAATGACCAGCTGTCTGGAAGGAGTATAAACCCTTCCCCACCACCCAGTCAGAGCTGAAGAAGCTTCTGGGATAAGAAGCGAAACGTCTTCAAAGAAAAACAAAAGAAGCCCAGTTGCCTCCTGAAAAAAGCACCTTTGGGATGCAGCCTTTGCTCTTTACGAGCCTCCCCCTTGCTCTGCTCTGGGGCTCCTCCATTCTTTTGGCCCCGTGATCGCTGCGTGCCCATCGGGGCCCTGCCTTTCACCCACCTCCACCTGCCTTGCTTCCTGACTCGGGTGGGCGCTTTCATCTAGCCCACCCTGAAGTAAGCATCTGGCTGACGTTCCGGGGGGGCTCTTCCCTGCACCCAGGCTCGGCCACCTGGCTCCCCTTTCCATTCCGAGTCCTCCTCTTCCTCCTCCTGAACGCTCAGGAGCATCTTGCTGCAGGTGCCCTCCTGGACACGGGCAGAGCAACTCCTGCCCCGAGGGGGGGCATGGGGGAAAAGGGAGGCCGTCCTCCTCTGGGGCTCTTCTGACCTGCCACACCTCTCCACCGCAGGGCCCAAACCTCCTCCTGAGCAGCCACCCTGGCCATCTGCAGGCGCTTCTGAGGGGCCAGGCAGCAAGGCGGGCCCACTGCAGGCGGCTGCAGCCTCCGCAGGCCCCGGCTCTCGGCTTCTGGCCCAGCCAGTCTGGGGCACAAGGCCCCGGCAAGCCCAAAGAGGGTGCCCTCTCAGCCCAGGGAGGGGGGGCAGAAGCAGCCCTGCTAGCTGCCCTCCCCCTTCCCCAAGCTGAGCATCTCTGCTCCACCCTAGGAAGCCCGCAATCCACACACACCACAGAGCAGGCGCCCTCCAGCTTGCCAACGGGGGGGGATCAGCGCAGGGGGGCCTCCTCCTCCTCCTGGGAGTTCGGCAGCAGCAAGAGCTCCAGGTCTGCAGGGGAGCCAGGTGCCTCGGGGTGCTTCGTTCCCTTTGGCCCTGCGTGGGAAGGGAGGGGTGAGCTGCCCTGCAAGGGCCCATAGAAAGAGGGTCTCTCTGCCCCTCCCCTGCCCCCTCCTTACCCCTGAGGGCCTTCAGGGCCACGTGCAGAGAGATGCCCAGCAAGCAGACGGCAAAGCCCAGCCAGTTCAGCGGCGTCAGCTGGTCTCCCATCAGGTGAGCGGCCAGGAACAGGGTGCAGACCTCCTGGGGGACGAGGCAGCGCACCATCAGCTCACAGCAGACCAGGCCAGAGGCGGTTGGGGGCTGATCCGACAGGCTCAGTCCCACTGTTGGGGGTCCCCCTCACAGCCATAAACACCCCCCGTTAAAGGCAGAGGCGGCCGGCTTGGCCCGACTGGGTTTGTGTTTTTTTTTAATTTTACACCATGGTGAATTCTATGCAGTTCCTGGAGTAAGGCAGGCCTTCCGAGGGCCCAGGGGTTGTAACATACGCACATTTTGACTGCTGTGTTGGAAGAAGGAAAAGGCCCAGAGATGCACTAAGGAGAGGATAGGCCAGAGAAGCGCCCCCCTCAAATACCTTGAAGATCCCCGATATGGAGAAGGTGAGGCTGGAGGTCCTGGAGACCAAGAGAAACTCGGAGAAGCCCAGCCCGAAGGCCAGCAGCCCCCCCAGGACCAGCTTCCCCAGCAGATCCACCAGCAGGTGCACCTCCTGGAAACGGAAGAGCTTCTCCGACGCAGACAAGGGCAGACCTGGGGAAACAGGGAGGGAACAGGAAGGGGGCTCGCTTGCAGACCCAGCCCCACAACCGGCTGATCCGGAAGCAAGTCCCAGAGACAGATGGGGGGGCAGGAGGGGGATGGCCAGGTCTCCCGCCCAGCAGTCAGTCGGGAGGAAGGCAACCAATAGTTTAGGCTGGGGAGACCAGTGCGGTTGGCAGGGCCTGCAGAAGTGATCTGGGCATCTCAGTGGATCACAAGGGACCAAAGCACAAGATCTTGGGCGGGACTCCTGGAAAGCGGCCCTTGCGGGAAGAGCCATGCAGCTGGGGGAGGGGGTGGAGCCGTTGGTCTGGAAAGCTGAAGCCCAGGGGACTTGCACGGGGTGGCGGGCCAGACAAGCTGAGCCCCGAGGACCCTCCCCTTGACAGGCCTCCTTGGGTAAAGGGCCCTCCTGGGCTGAGCAGAACCTCGGGCCACAAGATGGGGCTTCTCCCTTCCGCAATGTGAGCCGTTGGCGGGAGCATCCCGACACACCCTTTGCGCCCCCTCCTCCAGCAACTTGGGGCGGGCAGAAGACATCGCCTCCCCAGCAGGTCCACTCCCCCCCTCCCCCCAGGCGGCTGACCTTCAAACACGGCAAAGAGGGGGAAGAGGCTCAGGAACATGGCCGGCTGCAGGTGGAACATGGTGTCAATGGGGTTCTGGAGTCCTGCAAGAGAGGGGAAGGACAGCAGCCTGTCAGGGGGAAGGAGGGAGGGAGGCTGGCCTTCCCTCAGCCCCCAACCACGCACTCACCCAGCTCGTCCTTTTGCAGGAGGATCTGGGTCCGTGTCCAGCGAATGCCCCCCAGGAAGGAAGCGCCCAGCACCATTACGAAGCCTTCGGTGTCAAACTGGGTGGACTTGTAGGTGAACAAGAAGAGCCCCACGGAGATGAGCAGGACCACCAGCACCAGGGCGGCTCTCTGGCAGAAGATGGAGCAGCGTCACCTGCTGGTGAACGGAGAGCCGGGCCAGGCAGAGGCCAAGCAGGGCTGCTGGCACCCCAGCTCAGTGCCCGCCAACTGCCGGCCCGAACCCCGAGACTGGGCGGGGGGGTGTCTCACCGGTTCCTCCAGCTTGAAGATCAGCGAGAAGAGGAGGATGAAGAGGACAGCCGAGGACTTGGTCATGGTGTAGCTGCCAGACGGGAGGAGCGAGGGACGAGTGAGGGGCGCAGCTGCAGGCAGCCCCCCACCGGCCTTTTCCCCACCGTCCCGGCCGCCGCTGAAGGCTGCGCCGGCCCCGTCCCGCGGCGCCCCAGCCGGCCTCCCCGCAGCCGCCCGGCACTCACAGGGAGACGGTGATGTAGAGGAAGCTCCAGTTGCTCAGCCCCACGTCCAGGGCGGTGGACAGCGCTGCGGGCGGGAAAAGCCCCGTGAGAAAAGCCGCCCGAGGCACGTCCGGCGAGGCTTCAGGCGGACCCCCGACCGGCGGCAAACGCTGCGCCCCGCTCGGTCCCGGGAGCCTCCGTCCGCCTGCCCGACCCTGCCCGCCCCCGTCCCTCACCTGTCGGGGCCACCTGGCGCAGGTAGGCGGGCCAGGGCAGGAGGGCGCGCCCCGCGGTGGCCGAGGTGGCGGCGCTGCAGCGGCGGGAGCAGCGCCTGGCCAGCCCCGAGAGCGCGAAGATGACCAGCAGATGCAGCAGCGTCATGAACAGCGGGAAGGCGAAGCTCTGCGCGGAAGGGAGGCCACGCACGCGGTGAGCCGGCGGCCGGCCGAGCAGCCCGCGCCCGCCCCGGAGCCCCGCCCACCTGCATGAGCCACTTGTTGTAGAAGGTGATGCCGATGGAAAAGCCGTAGTAGAGCAGCACCAGCCCCGCTGCCCGCGCAGCAGCCCGCGCCGCCGCCATCGCGCCGGGCAGAAGCGCCCCCGGCCACGCCCCCCCGTTTCATAGAGGCCGCGCGGCCAGAGCGCCCCGGCCGCCCAGCGCCCCCTGCCGCCCGCGGCGCGAATAAGAGGCCGGAGCCGGGCTGGAAGGGGAAAACCAGCTTTAATGGGGGGGGGAGGAAGGGGGGAGCGCGCCAGGTCCAACCACCGCCCCGCGACCCCCCCCCCGCCCTGTCCGTGGACCCCGCCGGGGCCGGGCGGAGGCGGCTCAGCCGTAGTGGTAGACGAAGTCATAGCTGCTGGGCTCGCGGGGGACGGGCGGGGGCTCCTCGGGGATCTGGACGTTCTCCAGGTCCAGCAGGCGCAGCTTCATCTCCATGCTGAGCAGCGTCTCCAGGTCGCTCTTGGTCAGCTCGCTCGCCATGTCCTTCCCCAGCAAGGCGTGGAGCCCGTCGACCCAGATGCAGAACTGGGGGCAGCAAAAGAGCGTCTCAGGCTGGGAGGGGAAAGAGGGAGACTAGCCAAACCCGCCCACCCACCCCCGCTCCGCGAAGACCCTCCTGGCAGCCTCTGCCGCTCCTCGACCCACTTCAAGCGCTACAGGAGCCCGGCTGCTTCTAGGCCGAGGAACAGAATCAAAATCACTGAAGCCTCAGTACTGCCTTATAAAGCCTTAGTAAGGACCCACCTGGAATACGGCATCCAGTTTTGGTCAGGTTACAAAAAAGATGCTGAGACTTTGAGAAAAACGCAAAGAAAAGCAACTAAGATGATTAAAAGCCTGGAGACTAAAATATATGAAGAACGGCTGCAGGAATTGGATATGGCCAGTCTAGAGAAAAGAAGGACTAGGGGGGACATGGCAGTATTCCAGTATTTGAGGTGCTGCCACGAGGAGGGGGGGGTCAACCTATTTTCCAAAACACCTGAAGACAGGACAATGGTTGGAAACGGACCAAAGAGAGAAGCAACCTGGAATTAAGGAGAAACTTCCTAACAATGAGGACAATTAACCAGCAGAACAGCTTGCCTCCAGATGTTGTGGGTGCTTCATCAATGGAGGTGTTCAACAAGAGACTGGACAGCCATTTGTCTGAAATGATATAGTCTCCTGCCTAAGCAGGGGGCTGGACTGGAAGACCTCCAAGGTCCCTTCCAGCTCTATTGTCCGTATCACAGCCCAGGAAGTTTCCTCCCTTTGGAAACCAAAGCTGGGAGAAGGGGAGAAAAGTCCCACTCTGCACCCGAGTGGGGAACACACCCGAGTGCAGGATGGGGCAGAGCTGGCCTGGCCCCTCTGGGAAGGATCTGCCTCTTCTCACAGCTCAACCAGCAATGAGGCAGAGCTTCTGCTATGAAGGCCAGGGAGCTTTCGCTCCACTAGTGGTTCCCCCAGCCTACTCCCGCGTTAGCCCGGTCAGATCCCATGGGGAGCCCGTGTTCCAGTCACCACCATCCCGACCGGAGCAAGGCGAGAGGAGGAAGAAGGCCGCTGCTGCCGCCGCCGCCACCACCAAGGCCCGCAAGGGACGGTTGACAGAGCTGGGTTCTTCAGCCCTGGCCTTTCTGAAGGGCCATCCTGGAGGAGGGGCGGCTGATGCTCTCCTGCCCCAGGGGGCAGAGGCAGAACCAGGGGAGCAGAGCCAGAGGGCAGCAGCTCTCCTCCCTACACCACGCAGGCCGTCAGCCGAGAGGAAGAGGCTGCCCCAAAAGAGGTGGCTTCTCCTGGCTGGATGGCGAGAGACACTGTGGCGGCTCCTGAGCAGAGCAGGGAGAGGAGACTCAGGGAGGGGACGCAGACCAGACAACAGAGGCACTTTATTCACCTGCACACCGTTAGCCTGCAGTCTTCATTACGGCCAGGCTGATGATGGTCACCAACCTGCATGTTTTAAAGAGGCAGCCCTACACCCACGGGAGGTTATTAATGCCGGAGATTTCAGATTAGCTCAGTGCGGCAGGACAAGGGACTGGAGAGGCTGCCGTTCCACCTCCTGCTTGTCAGCCCCAAAGAAACTGGGAGACACGAGGAGAAAACGGGTTGGGGAGGGGCAGCAGGCCTCTCCTTATCTCCACCCCTCCTCCACAATCCGGAAACCTGCAAGAAGCGCATTTGGCCTGCTGGCAGCTCCTGCCCGTCCTCCTGGAACCCAGAACTGCCCCAAGGACCATCCAGGCAGCTGCCACAGGGGAAGTAAGAGCAGCACGACCCACATTGGGCCCCCTGTCCCTCTCCTGGGGTGTCCAAAACGGGGCACTGGCGGCCAGGGGCCAAGAAATGATCCAGGAGGGTTCAGCGGGAGGAGCTGCGTCTTCTGAGGGGGCGCAAGAGGGGTGATGCAGCCACCTTTCAAATCGGGGGTCCCCAACCCGAGAGATGCAGCTTGGTACCGGGGTGCGGCTCATTGGGAGCTGGACCGCGCAAGCAGCGGGCGAGCGCCTGAGCACAGAGAGCTCCATTTGCTCAAAGCGGCGGCTACACAGGGAAGAACATCCTCCGCCCTGCAGCCAGCACCACCGCCGGTTCACAGAGCCAGAAAGATTCTCCTTAACTGCCAGGAGCCAAGGGCCCCCCGGGAACCGCTGAGCGAGGAGGGCCCGAGTGGTGGAGGATTTAAGGCGCTGCTCCTGCCGGGAGCGCAGAGACGGCGACTGGCAGGCGTCCAGTCTGAGGGATGAAGTCTGCGGAAGGGGGGCCACCAAGGGGGTGCAAATGCACAGAGCAGGGATTTCTAACACATCTTCAAAAATTTCTACTCTGACCGATCTAAAAGGAGGAGGAAACGACAAGGCTCTTTTGGTGGCCCCGCAAGAAACCCCAGTGAAGAGGGGAGGCTTTCCAGGGCCCCTTTCCCGGAATCCAAGTCCACAATTTGAACAGTCCTCAGGAAAGGACCTTCGCACCAAAGGTCAGAAAGAGGAGCAGTTCAACAGAGAGGCCAATGATGCAGGGGTGGGGGGGTGTCTCCCCTGTTGAGGGGGATGTGTTCGGGCCAAGGCTGGACAGGCACCTATTGGGGTGCTTTACTTCCTTTCCTCAACAGGGGCAGACTAGATGGCCTCCAGAGCCCCCTCCAATGCTAGCCTTCTCAGTGCAGAAGCAGCCGTGAAGGCCTTCCCTCGGGAAAGGAAAGCTGGCTGGGGGGGGGCAGAGCAACCCGAGGGCCAGCCCAGCAGGATAAAAGCAGCCCTGGGCTCCCCCACCTGCACCTGCTGCTCACCTCGTATTTGTTGGGTGCGATAAAGTTCAGGGTCTCGTCCGGTTCATAAAGGATGGAGAAAGCCAGTTCCAGGGCCTCCTTGGGGATGGGGAGAGAAGTCAGGGACAGGGAGGTGGCCCTCTCCCTTCCCCCCATCCCTGGGCAGAAGCCTTTGGGGGGGCTCCCTGGGACACCCGTACCTTGTTCTGCTTCAGCGCCCCCTTCTCCTTCATGTGAGGACACTCTTTCCCGGTGAGAACGGCCTTGATGTCTGCCACGGGGACTAAGGGAAGAGCGGCGGCCATCAGGCCCGGCCCTCCAAAGGCCCACCTGGACAGACCCTCCCCCCAGGGCTGGAGAGCTGCTGCACACCCGCCCAGCCCCACCCCCAGCCTACTCTTCTCCTGCAGCGACTCCAGGGTGGCCCCCCCCTGGGCGTTCTCCTCCAGGTCCCCGTAGTGGAGCGTCTTGTGGTTCAGGGCCAGGCGGCAGTACCAGAAGCGCTCTGCAAGGCAGGGAAACGGTCTCGGCAAAGCCCCCCCATGAGACCCCCCGGTTGCCGCAGGATCCCCGGCTCACCTTGCCTCCTCCGGTTGCCCACTTTGCGGAAGCTGCTTCCCTCGCAGAGGCGGTTCAGGCGCTGCTGCTTAATGAGCGCCAGGATCTCCGGCTGGATCTTCTCCCGCAGCTCCCTGGGGAAGGCCAGCCAGCAGGTGCATCAGAGGGGGGCCTGTGTCCCCTCCCCGCGCCTTCCCAGGGCCCCTCCCTGAGACACTCACACGATGGGTGGGGACTGGAAGTCGTCCTGGCTCATCCGCTCCGACTGGCGCAAGCGCAGCACCTCCGAGTACCCCAGCCCCCGCAGCTTGCTCTGGAACTGGTCCAGGGAGGGGGGCCTGGCGGGCAGGGCCCGGGTGATCTGCTCCCTCACCACCTGCATCACCTGGCGGAGGAGGAGGAGGAGGAGGAGGAGGGCAGCGGGGCTGCAGAGGGAGGGAGGGGGAGGAGGGGGAGGCCACGCCCACCTTGTGGAAGTCCTCGCCTGTCGCCCGCATCTCTTTCCAGGTCCGGTTCAGCAGCTGGATGCAGATGGCGAAGAGCTCCTCCAGGGCCTGGTCGTGCGTGAAGAACATGGGGTGGTAGTCGTTCCGGCCCTCGTTGGCTTGGCAGAGACAGGGAGGAAGCGGGACGTCAGAGCGGCCGGGCAGGCCCACTTTCCCCCAGGCTGAGCTTTGGGAGGGAGGGAGGGAGGGAGGGAGATCCAGGGCAAACATTCCCAGACTGCACGGAGGCATCAGCAGAAAAGCACTGGGAAGTGCACTTTGTGTACGTGAGAAATTGCACAAAAATGTCACAACGTCCCAGCTGAACACACAGGGATGCTCATAGCCCCTGAGGCGCCGGATGGCCAGGCGGAGCTTTTCCCTTTCCGACCAGCCTTTGGGAAGTGAACGGCCCCCCCGCAGCAGCCAGTGGCAGCTCAACAACCATCCTTGTCCCACCCACGTACCAGGCCACGGCTGCCCCGTGAAGCAGCCCTCTGAGGCTCCAACATCCCTGCTGGGCCACATCCGGTTGGGCCAAGTGGTGCTCAGGGAAAGGCCTTAGCCGGTAGGTCCCCCCAGGGCTCAGAGGAGAAGGGGAGCAGCCCCACTTCTAGCCCGAGTGGCTTCTCCACGGGGGGGGAGGGGGCTTCCCTGGGTTCCCCACCAGACCCCACTTACGAAGTTCTCCAATCTGCAAGATCTCGCAGAGCATCCTGGTGAGCTCGATGGCGCTGCGCCCAAAGGGACAGGCATGCTTGTCCTCCGGACTGCTATTCTCCAGGACAATCTGTGGGGCAGGGAGAGAGGCGCACGGTGAGGGGGAGCCAGGTGGCTGCTTGCGCAGGGTCCCCCGTGGGAAGCAGCCGGGTCCCTTACTCGGATGTAGGCATCCTGATGGTGTCTGGCCAGGTAGAGCATGTTGTCCAAGGCCAACATGCCTGGCGGGGTCTGGAGGAAGTCCAGGGCGGGGTTGGCAGGGCTCTGTGGAAACAAGAGGGTCTCTTGGCCCCTGGCCTGGCAGCCCCACCGGCCGGGCTCCCCTCCCTGCACACCGCCAACCGACCATGAAGCCCAGCATCTTGTAGTCCTTGGTGTAGACCGCCTTGCGCTTCTCTGCTCCGCCGCCAGGGACGCCGCTGCTCTCGGCCTCGGCCTCGAATGCGATCCTGCGCAGCTCAAAGAGGACGTCCCGCTGGGCCTGCGTGGGACAAGGGGGACGGTGAGTCTGGGCAGTGGCGGCAGCCGGACACCCGCCCTGAAGGCTGCAGGGGGCTACCCTGCCCACCACCTGGTCACTGGGGTCCATTTTGGTCATCATCCGCTCCTCCCGGAGGTTGAGAGTCAAGACCTGTAGCACGTACAGCTGGTGGGCCATCTCGGTTTTGATTGGGCGGTTCCCTCGGATGACATGCTAGGGGGAAGCGTGAAAACAGTCAGCAGGAGCAGCCCCCACCGCCTCGCAGCTGTCCACTGGCCCAGACTGCTGCGGCCGGCACGCTGCCTGCTAACTGGCAAGGGCGAGCTGCCTTGCAGGGTGAGGCCTTGTAAGGCCCAGCTGAAGGGAAGGCCGATAGACAGCAACGCTAACTAGGGAGAGCGTCTTTGACCCCGAGCCTTACCGTCAGGATGGCTGAACGCAGCTGCTTCTGGGCAGAGGCCTCGGCCATCTCCTGCCAGGAAGGTACAAAGGAAATGGCGGGTGGTGGAAGGAAGGGAGACGGAGGGGCCACCTTCTGGACCTCCCCCCACCTGTGCTGCTCCCCTGCCCACCAGGGAAGCCATCTGCAAAAACCCCACAGCCGGAGTAGCCTCCTGCCCCTGGGCCCCCCTGCTCCTCCCAGGCTTTCCGTGCATCCCAGCACCCTGAAAGAGGATTCGGAGCCTGCCGGGCCTCCGTTCTCTGCCACAGGGATCGACTTACAGTGCAGGGCAGGTCTAGCGGACTAACAAGCTGGTCCTGGGGGCGGAAAGCAGAAACAGACACAAAAGGAGCAGATGACAGAATCAGCAGACGGGGGGGGGGGAAACAGGGAGGGGGGAACACAGCCTTTCACAGGATACAGATGGAGGGGGTGCACATGAAGACACTCAAGCCAGCCCCCACCCCAGAGACGGCTCTGCCCCCCCCCCCCCAGGAAAAGAGCAAGGCCTGCCTCCGCTGGCCCTCTCCCCAGTCGACAGGGCATGCCCCCTCCCCCCCGGTCCCTGCCACCTACCTGCCTCTTCTCCTCAGGAGCCTTCAGGAAGAGAGCATTGATCAACGCTATTGCATATGTCTGGATCTCCTGGTTGGAGCTGTAGGGAGAGCCAGAGAGAACACTCATCCAGCTCTGCCAGGGGGAGGGCAAGGGGAAGCCCCAAGCCCTGGGACACTCACACTTGGAGGTGGGAGAGCAGCTGCCCGACCGTGATCTCCTCCGCAATCTTCTGATAGAGAGCCTGGCTGTTCAGCACCATGCTCTCCAGGATGGCCAGGGAGCGCTGCAGGATGGAGACGTCCACCGTCGGCTGGCTCACGTACTCTGCGATCTGCCAGCAGAAGGAACCTCCAGTCAGCACCAGCCCGGTTCACCAGGACATGCCCGCTCTCCTCCCAGGGGACGGCACCTGCTTGATGAAGCCGATGGAGATGGTGTCCCAGGAGATGAGGCCGTGGTCCATGAGCTCCAAGAAGGCTGTCAGGGTGAAGGCCAGCGTCTCGCCGTAGCTGCAGGGGAAGACGTAAACCGTCCACGCTCCCTGGTCCACAGGCTGCTGCGCGGCTCTTTCTCACCTGGCTGTCAAACCTCAGACAACCCCTTCGGCTCTTCTCTGACAGGGCCCCACTGGTGATGTTCCCGCCAGCCAAAACGGGCGACGGCCATGGAGGAGGCCACCCTTGCTGCCCGGGGGCTTCAGGAGACAAAGCCCTGCCCCTGAGCGCACCCTCCACCGACTGCAACACCGGCTAAAGGCAGTCTATACCCAATGGGGGGACAATGCTTCCCACAGGACAGGGCCCCTAGATGGCTCTCTTCTTCCCTTTTCCTGGGCTTTCTAGAAATAGGACTAGCCTTATGACCTGCTGCCATCCTTTCCCCATCCTTAGGAAAGCACTAGGAGGGATTGACTACCTCCGTGCCCCTCCTCGTCTCCCCTGGAGAGCCACTCCTTGACAGCCATGAGGTCTTGGAGCAATCGGAAGCTCATTCCTCCGCTGGGGTGCCCTGGGCAAAGGTGCCAGGAGTGTTTGCAAAGACAGGAGTGTGTGTGGGGGGGGGGAGAAGAGGAGCTCCTACTGAAGAGCAGCCCGGCACTTACTGAGAGAGGAGCTTGGAGCTGCCCTCCACCAGCCGGGTGAGCACCGCAATGCCATCCATGTTGATGAACTCAGTGGCAAAGGTGACGTCTGCCGAGAGCTTGGCGAGTTCCTTCATGGCCTCCAGGCGGCCCTCCAAGCTGGAGGACTGGGTCCGGTCCATCAGTTGGCGGGCGGCCCTGGACTGAAAAGAAGGCATCGGGAGCCCCTCCCCATCTCGCTCGGGAGACAGGGAGCCAGAGCAGGTCCTCAACGCTGCAACTGGCAAAGGGGGGGTGGAGGGAGGAGAAAAAAGAGCCCCACCCCCCCAAGCCGCATCCGGAAGGGCTAGCAGCAGCCAGAACCTACTGGAGAAACCGCCAACTGGAGGATGGTCCCATTCTTGATGTCGCCACGAGTCTGTAGGGCACAAAGACAAAAGCTGGCTTAACACCGGTCAATTGTGTGTGTGTGTGTGTGTGTGTGTGTGAAAGAAAGAAAACGTGTTGGGACTCTAGGGTAAGGACTGCAATAAGGGAGGATTGCACACCTACCTGTTCCGTTATGTACAGCTGTGCTCCATCGGCATAACGTAGCGTGTAGTATTCAGGGTTAGGCAGGGACCATCTGCCAGGGGACAAACACAGGAAGGGCGCTTGAGCCTTCCAGCCTGGCCGTTCTTCACCTGAGAGAGTGGGTGCTCCTAGGGCCCCAGCTAAGAAGACTGGGGGGGGGAAGAGGAGGCTGATCCGACTGGCGGGCACTCACCCGTCACAGACTTCCTTGATGATGGAGACCAGGGGCCGCTTCTGAAAAGGGCGAGAATCGTGAGCTAGGAGGCTTCTCTGAGACAACCCCACCATCATCCACAGCCACCCTGCTGTGCTCACTGTCCAGGCCTCACTCCTGCAAACACTGGGCACCCTTTACTCTCACCTGGTCAAACTCCAGCAACTGGCCGTTGGCCCCAGGCCACTCCACGGCCACCTTAACTATGTCTGGCAGGGGCAGCATCTCTTTAGAGACCCAGCTTTCTCGCTAGAAACGGGGATCCTCTTCCAGACCTGCCACAACAGAAAAGGGTTGGCAGATGGGTGGCTTTCCCACCGCTGGAGCCAACAGCCCAAACCTCAGGCCCATTGCCGGTTCCAGCCCAGGGGTCAGCCGAGGGCCTGTGCCGGCCGCGCATGCTCTCTGGGCCCCACCAGATACATCGGGATACTTCCCGGATTTCCCTTCCTGCCAGAGGACCCCCAGCATGGTGCGTCTGCAGGCACGGTCAGAGACCCCCCCCCAGTTCATGAGGAGGGGGAGGGGAGGCAAAATAAATCGAGTGAAACTCCTGATAGGCGCACAGGCCCCGTTCCGGTGGGCTTCACTCCACTCGCAGGGCGCCAGACAACGGATGCCCCCTCCCGCGGGTCAGCCGTGGAGAAAGAGACGAGGTTGGCCTCGGTCGAATGGGGGGTTGTACCCCAGAGGGGGGCGGGGGAGGGAGCTGCCGCTCTGGGCACCCGGCCGGCCGTCTGCAGGGGGGCGGCGGCAGCAGCAGGAGCGGCGGGAGGCCGGGGAGGAGAGTCAGGCGGGGGGGGAGGGAGGCGGCGGGGCTTTTGCTCAGGGCGGTCTCTCCCCCCCCCGGCCATACGAAGACAGCAAGGGGGGAAACGGCGGAGCCCTGAGATGCCCAGGCCGGCTTCTCCCGCCGGGCCCCCTCCTGGGGGAAGGAGGCTCCCTGCTTGCGGACCGGCGACGGCGCTGCAGCCGGAAAGGAAGGGAGCGGGGGGGGTTGGTCCCTCTGCGGGCAACAAGAGGGGGCGTCCCCCCAGGGATCCCCGGACTGAATCTCCGTGGAGACCGAGGCGGGCTCCCCCTCCCTCCCGGGCTCTTCTTCAGGGCCTGGCGCAGCGCCCCCGGTCGGGCCCGAGATGCCCGTAGGCGGCCTTTGGGTCGTCCCGACAGACAGCGCCGGGGCAGCGTCCAAGGGGGCCACGGCCTCCATTCCGGGGCCCGGACCCTCCCGCGGCGGCGCTTTCCCCGGCCGAGCGGAGGCCGCGTCCTCACCTGCCCGGGAACGCCGGGCGGGGGCTGCGGGGGGGGGCAATGCCCGGCGGCCTCCCACCGCTCGGGGCTCCGCGCTCCTGCTGGGCTCGGCTCGGCCCCGCCCCCTCGGCCTTCCGCTCTTCGGCCCCGCCTCTCCCGCGGATTGGGAGAGGCCGCCGCCGCGGCTCCCCAGCGCCCTCTCCCATTGGCGGATCGGCAAGGCCGTCGCTGTCATGGAAACCGCGGCGTTGCTCTGGTCCGGCGGCCGCCGGGGTGTATGGGGCCGGGGCCGGAAGTGAGCTTTCTTTCCGGTTCCGGCGGAAGCGGGTGCGCGTTGGCGGTTCGCGAGGCAGCGGGAAGGGAAGGGAAGCGGCCGGCGCGAAGGAAAGAGCCGCGACGCCGCCACCATGGTGAGGCTGGGCCCGGCGGGTGGACCCGGGCCGGGGGGGAACCTCCCGCCCCGCGCTGACCGCCTGCCTCTTCTTCCCGCAGACGGTGGGCAAGAGCAGCAAGATGCTGCAGCACATCGACTACCGCATGCGGTGCATCCTGCAGGACGGGCGCGTCTTCATTGGCACCTTCAAGGCCTTCGACAAGCACATGAACCTCATCCTCTGCGACTGCGACGAGTTCCGCAAGATCAAGTAAAGGGGGGAGGGGAAGGGGACGGGGGTGGCCGGCGACGGGAGACGGGGAGCGAAGGGGGGGGTCGAGGAGGGGCCCGGGCGGTAAGCGGCGTCTCTTCCCTCCGTCCTTCCCTTCGCAGGCCCAAGAACTCCAAGCAGCCCGAGCGGGAGGAGAAGCGCGTGCTGGGCCTGGTGCTGCTCCGTGGCGAGAACCTGGTCTCCATGACGGTGGAGGGGCCGCCCCCCAAGGACGTAAGCCGGGGTGGGGGGGACCGGAGGTGGGGAGCAGCAGCGATGCACGAGCTCCTCACGGCACCCTTGGGAGGCTTCGGGCCCGGCTGCTTCTGCTCACTGCCCCCTCCTGCTCTGGACGCCGAGAGGGTGGGCTGCCAGGGAACGCAGCGGATTGAACGGGCCAGGTTTGTTAGAGACAAATCACGGAGGATTGTCAAATGGCGAAGAAAAACTCCCCTGGGAGGAATCGGTCCAGCAAAAGGAGCCTGTGAAGCGCTGGTGAAATAACACTCTGGGGATTCGGCTGCTGTGTGGTGACGCTTCAGCTCTTTTCCAGACTGGGATTGCCCGTGTGCCACTGGCTGGGGCAGCAGGAGGACCCGGTGTCGGCAGAGCTGCTGGAAGAGGAGTCCCAGCCGGGGCTCCCATGCCCCAAGCGCCTGCGGGTTTGGCCGGTCCTGTGCGTGGAGTTGGTGGACCATCACAACAGGTAAGAGCAGAGCCACGTCCAGCTGCGTTGAGAATGGAGTGCGGCTTTGGTGTCAGGCGGCTTCCGGCTGATAAACCCTTTTCTCTTTCTCTCCTTGTGGACGTGGACAGAGATGAGCGGCGCATCACATTCAAGCTGTTTTTTCTTTACAGGTAATGACACCTCAGAGTCGAGGGACGGTTGCTGCCGCTGCTGCTGCTGCCACAGCTAGTATAGCAGGAGCCCCGACTCAATACGCACCAGGCCGTGGGGGCCCTCCCCCGCCCATGGGAAGGGGCACTCCCCCTCCAGGTGAGTGTTGACTAAGCCACCCCCTCCTCGCTACCGGAGCTGACGGGACCTATGATGAATGGCAGTATCTGAGCACTGCTGTGAGGAGCTGTTGTCAAAGCAGGATTACTCTGAGGTCTCTGCTGGGCTAGAATGCCGGAGGGAAGGGACTGCCAGTTGCTGATGCTTCTGCTCTTCTGCTCTAGGAATGATGGGGCCGCCTCCTGGTATGAGACCACCCATGGGCCCTCCTATGGGGATGCCCCCAGGCCGTGGCTCACCACTGGGGATGCCGCCACCGGGAATGAGGCCGCCACCTCCTGGCATGAGGGGTAAGTACTCTTTTGAGCAAGAAAGAATTCTGAGATAAGCTGCCAAAGTGGTGGCGTTTGATTCAGTATGAAAGGCCATTGCGATAGCTGGGTTGAAAACAAATTACTCAGTAGCGCTACAATATTCTCACAACTGCAAATAATTGACACTTGTGACTTTTGTTTTCAGGTCCCCCTCCTCCTGGCATGCGCCCGCCTAGGCCTTGACACCCATGCTGAACCCAGTGGGACTCACGGGGGCCGAACTTGGTGATCGCAAGATGGCAGGAGTATAATTAGCTGTGTATGTATGTGCTCTGTTTTTTGATGTCATGTTGCCCATTTCTAATAAAACTCTTGACATTTCTTCCTGTGGTGTTACTGTTAGGCGTGTATTTGGGGAAAGAAAAAATGGTTTTGGGACTGAATGTTTTTGGATGCCTTGGCCTCCTGAGGCCCATCCCTTTCCTTGGTAGCAGCTGCCTGCCAAGTAGCAACCAAGGGCACGTGTGCCAAGATAGTGAAGGCCTTGCTTCCATGGTGCTTGTTGGAAGTAATGTAGGGCCTCCTGCTTGAGCAGGGGGGTGGATTATATCAGCAGCTCCCAACCTTTTGGGCACCAGGGACCGGTTCTATGGAGAAAGGTTTTTCCAGGGACTGGAGGGTGTGGTTTCCCCTGCTGCCTGCATCGTGTGGATGGGGCTTCGCCTGTTTGCGCAGCCCGGTTGCTGGTATGCCGCAGCCCCAGTGCCGGTCCATGGACTGGGCGTTGGTACCCCTGGACTAGATGATCTCCAAGGTCCCTTCCAGCTCCTGTTAAAAAGGTTAGGAGAAAAGGTCTTTGCCTACAACATTTGTTGGCAAATACAGGCATGTTCACATTAAGTGAAAACAAATCAACGCTGTTTGGCTCATGATTGATCATCCGTCATATGTTAATAGTTTAGGTCTGCTTGTTCAGGACTTTTGGATTTGGAAGTCATCACTGGAGATCAGGCTCATATTCCACTAACACCATCAAGGCCTTAATTAACTGTTACTGACAAACTACATGATAATTATGTAGTATTTTCCATCTGTCTCTTGAAGAAGTGATAAGGGACTGAAATAGGAGAGGTTTACAAGAAGTCGGTCTGTGGCCAGTCAGTGCTCTCTGTTCTTGGTGATTTTCCTGCAGACGTTTCATGACCTAGCTAGGCATCTTCAGTGCACGTGAAATGTCTGCAAGAAAACCAAGCCCAGAGAGCTCAGAGGACTCCATGGTGTCAAAATAAGTAGACTTTTCATGTTATGGAACCTCAGCAATTTCTACTAACCACACACACAATCTGTTGGGGGCTCTCCTTCCGCAGTTCCTTGTATGGACACAACCACTGGCAGTTAGACTTTCATCTGAGTAACTGTAGATGTTACTTTGGTGCTTAGAGTTAGGTAATGAACAAAGGCCTTGGCTGAAGCTCTAATTCTTAATGTTTATGTTATGTTTATGAGATTTATTTACAGCTCAGGCCTTAGATGCTGTTGCAGGCAGTATAATCCAAGCACAGCGCACTAGCTCTGTGTTCCACTGCACACTCCACACCGACTAGAGCTCACTGAGAGGGACACATTCTGCATAAACCCTGGGAAATTAAATTGGGCCAGACACCCCCCTCCGCTGATCAAATTCCTCAAAAGCCTATATTGCTTCTAAAAGCCACAACGCCAGTATTAATAAGCAACTTACATCAGTCACTGAACATTCCACAATTGTGGATTTATCCTTCCAGTTGTTAACATTAATACTTTGGAGTGCTGCCATATTTGAAAAGTTCACAATTCTTGATCAATTCCAAATACTGAAGAAGTAGCCAAGAATCTTTTCGCTTGCAATACAATCAGGAAAAGAGTCCTGTACATTTCACCCCAACCTTTGACATGTCAGTAAAGGTTCCTGCCTGACCATGACAGGTGGCTTGTCTGCTTTTGTGTCATATGGGCATACACCTGGTTCTGTAGCTGGGCAGAAGGCCACACTCCTAGACAATACCGAGGAGACTATTGCTGGGCTGGTGGGGGGAGGTGAGACCCCCCCCTGGTCTTCAGGCAGACAAACAAGCAGACCTCTGCCTAAAGCGACAGCTGTAGTGAGGAAAGCTGCTCCAGTCACAGCCTTGATCTTAGAGGCTCAAGCATTAACGCCCCTTAGAGGTCCTCCACTTTGCTGGGAGTTGCAGACCACAGTAGGGCACAGTCATCCAAGGACAAGGGATGAGACTGCCCTTCCCCTAAAGGGTTTCTAAGCTTCCCCCTGCTGATTTTAGCAGAATACCTCATTGTTACTAAGAACTGCTTTAGTGAGTAAAGGTTGCCTTTGAGTTCTTGGAATTTTCATAACCTCCTTTAATAGTTGTTAGGTAAAGATCACACAAAACCCTCGGGCTCCATAGCAAGGCAGCAACGTAGATGAGTCAACAACATAGTTGTTTATTTGGTCTCAGGGTCTTCCTAGGAAGTTCCAGAGAAGCGAGAAAATGGACCACAAGAGAGGTCCTCCTGACATCCCTCCCAAGGTCCAATTCTTCAGCCAAGTCCCAAAGCAGCCAGGTGTTTTTTTTCTGGGCACTGCTCGGTTCCAACTGCTCGGCTGCTGCTGCCCCGAGAGCTGATCTGAAGAGATCTTGAATTCCACAAGGGCTGCCAGGTGGAGGCCTCTGCCACCCGGCCCCCAGGTGCGCTCACTTCCGCCTGTACCTGCATAAAGAACAAGCAAGCAACAATCTCAGAACCAGAAAAGGATCCAGGAAGGATGTCCGTGGAGATTCCCAGTCACCCAGGTCATGATTGCCCCAAAGGTGCTTCTTTTTCAGGAGGCAACTGGACTTTCTTGCTTTTCTTTGAAGATGTTTCGCTTCTCATCCCAGAAGCTTCTTCAGCTCTGACTGAATGGTGGGACAATCCAGGAAGGAAGACCGGGTGTACTGGAGCCTTACCTGGACTTGGTTTTAAATTTTCCTCCTTTCCTTCTCCCCTGAAGGCCCAGACGCTGGCGGTCTTCAAAGGAAGGCCTGGAGAGGGAAAAAGCGCTGCCCTCAGCGGAACCTCAGGAGGCCTTTTCCTCTCAACCGCCCAGGGGTTTTGGGGGGAGGGAGGGGGTGGGTGGAAAAAGATGCTTTCAAGTTAAGCTTCACTCCTGGTGACCCCCTGGGCACAATTCTCTCGCTCACAGTGCAGGAACCACTGTTGCTGCCTTCTGGGATTTTGTTTTCACTTCCCCTCCCTGGACTTCTCTCACGGTCCCCCCCCCCCAGACCCTTTCCCGACCCACCAGACTGGGCTTCTGGGCCCAGACACCGGAGAAGCACCGTCGGTGCTCTAGAGAGAGCCCCCAAACTGCCCACCAAAGGGAGGGAGTTGCAAGGGCGGAAGAGCGATACTCACCCTGCTCGATACTGCTTGAGGGCTTTCTCGTTCGTGTTGGTGAGCTCCACGTCAAATGCCGAAGTTTTCTTCTTGCACTGCTTCTTGGGCCCTTTCAGAGGAGAGGAGGGCCGAGAAGGCAGGTTGTAAGCCAGTCATGGAGGAAAGCCCCCCTCTCCCCCAGAGGGCCCCCCGGCGCCCCCCTGGCCTCAGAACAGGGGAAAGAGAAGCCTCACCAGCCTCCATTTCTGTCGGCGGCGTTTCCTCCGGCATGGCCCGGGCTCGCTTGGGCCGGCGGCTCCTTTTGGCTAGTCGCTCGGCATACATCTGGGCCTTCAAGATCTCAAACTGGGAACGTTCCTCAGGCTGCCAACAAGAGAGACGCTCGCAAGGCTGGCTGGGGAGGGGCCGGGGGCCCAAGCGCCAGTCCTCCCCCCCCCATCCTCCTCCAGACAGGCAGCTGCTCACCGTAGGCTGAGCCTTCTTCTGGGAATCCCTCACAAACTTGGTTCTCTTCTTCTTGCCTCGAAGCGCAAAGTCAAACTCCTGCAGGGCCTTGGCGACTGGGAGAGAAGCAAGGGGGGGAGGTCAGGGCCAGGCCTGGACGGATCCAAGCCCTTCCCCAGAGCCAAGCCTTACGCTTCTCGTTCTTCCTCTCCTCCTGGCTCTGGAACCAGCTGCGGGGAGTGCCCCCAGCCCCTGCTGGCTGGGAACCGGCTTCCAACCTCCGCTTGGCAGTGTTGATCTGGAAGGAGAGCAGATGTGGTCAGAGCCCGAAGGCTGCCTTGGCAGACGAAAGGATCTTCCCCAGGCCAGGCAGAGGAGCTGTGGGACCAGATCCATTTGTCCTTGGCAAGGGGGGAGGGAAGAAGAGGAGGATGTTACTCATCCCCCACTGAAGCAGCAACTGGGACAGCCCCTCCCTCCCACTATGGTAGATCCTGCAGGTGTTGAAATGCAACGCCAAATTCATTCTCTGCCTGGACTTGGGTCACCAAGGTGTGAAATGAATTTCTTCTAAATTAGCCCCCTGGAAGCAGACAGTTCCCCACCCCACCCTTCTCCACTCCCTCAGTGGGCAGAGAACTCAGCCCAGGAGCCCCTCCTCCACCGGCCCCCTCCCGCCTGGCGCACCTGGGCCTCCGAGCACTGCAGCGCCCGCTCTTCCCGCTCCAGGCGCAGCACAGCGTACACATCTGGCTCCAGCTTCTCAATTTTCTCCCGGAAGCGCAGAATCACATCTGGGGGCACCAAAAGACCGCTGCCTCCACCGAATCCCTCACAGCAAAACGAGGGTCTAACCCACCCCCTAACCCTAACCCCACAGCCGTTACCCTGGGGGAGGATCCTGGCCTTCACGGGGGCCTTGGCAGCCTTGACGATCTCCTTCAGCATCTTGCGCTCTTCCTCGCCCACTAAGGACACGGAGCGGCCCACGCGCCCCGCCCGAGCTGTGCGCCCCACCCGGTGGACATAGTGCTTGGTGGTGTTGGGCATGGTGAAGTTGATCACCTGCAAGTAGAGAGGAGGCAGTGAAGAGCACTGGCCCCTGGGAAAAAGAGGCTGGGGGGAGGAGGAGGGAGGGACCTTACTGTCTTGACGCCTTCAATGTCAAGGCCTCGGGCGGCAACATCGGTGGCCACCAGGACGTCGATCTGCTCGTCCTTGAACTGCCTGCAGAGAAAGGAGCCCCTGAAAAGGCCAGTCCAGCCCCGACCTGGCTCTCCCCGGCCGCCCACTCCCTCCCTCCCACCTACCGGAGAGCCTCCAAGCGCTGGGCCTGGGAAAGGTTGCCGTGCAGCTCCCCGACACGCAGGCCCATCAGGCCCAGGAGGATGTGCAGGCGGTGGGCCTGTTTCTTGGTCTGGATGAAGAGCATCACGTGGTCAGGGAAGGTCCGGGTCAGCAGAGCTGGAGAGCAGAGGGAGACCCATTAACGCCAGCTCCCCCCTCGCCTGAACCCCCCACCCGAAGCTGCTCCACCAGCTCCCACCTGCCACAATGGCCTCCCTGTCCCCCTCGCGGCTGGGCCGGATGCGGACGAACTCCTGGCGCAGAAAGGGGGCCACCTCTGTGTTGCTGTTCACAAAGATCCGGACGGGGTTTTTCAAAGAAACCGAAGCCAAATCCTTGACCTGCCAAAGTGGGAGGGGAAGTTCCTCAGCCCGGCCCCACTCAGCCCTCCCCAGGAACAGCGTCCCCAGAGGCTGCTGCTCCAGATGCGACAGGAACGAGGCCTCCCCTGCTGCTCCAGAGCAGTCCTGCCAGGCGGGGCGAGGGGGTTCTCATCCACCCCCACAGACAGCCACCCCCTTCTCTTCCCACCTGCCCTCCTCCTCCACGCCAGGCGCCTGCGGTACCTCGTCCGTCATGGTGGCAGAGAAGAGCATGGTCTGGCGGTGTCGAGCGCACATCCGAATGATCTCCTTCATCTGCTCCTCAAAATATTCATCCAGCATCCTGATGTGCAAGGGGGGAACAAGAGCCAATGACCGGGCCAGCCCTCTCCCTGGCCCACTGTGCAAAGCTCAGGCCACGGGGCTTAGAGGGCCAGAGGAGAGCCGAACCCGCATTCTCGGTCCCGGGGGAATTAAAACCCTCCTCTCACCGGTCGGCTTCATCCAGAATGAGGACCTCAATGCTGCCCAGGTGGAAGGAGGGACAGTTGTGCAGATGGTCAATGAGGCGGCCAGGAGTGGCGATGAGAATGTCAGGGCCAGAGCGCAGGGCTGCCTCCTGGGTCTTGAGGTCCAAGCCACCTGCAACAACACAAACAGCGTGCAGCCCAGCCATCCCCAAACAACAAGCAGATCAAGCGAACTGGCCGTGGAAATGCCCAAGGCTGGGCCACTCACCCACTGCCAGGCACACGGTGATGCTGCTGAACTGAGCCAGCTGCTTTGTAACGGAATGCACCTGGATGCCCAGCTCCCGAGTTGGCACCAGCACTAACACCCGACTGACGGGGGCCTGCCGAGGTTTGTAGATCAGGCGCTCCAGGACAGGAAGGATGAAGGCCGCAGTCTTTCCTGGAAAGCAGGCAAAAAGTTAAGATCCATAGGAGGCCAGCGGTCATTCCAAGCCCCCACTTCCCACCTCCAGCCAGGCGCAACACACCTGTTCCTGTGGCTGCACACGCACACAAGTCCTTCCCCAACAGTCCTACAGGGATGCAGGCCTTCTGGATCGGGGTAGGCTGCTTGAAGCCCAGAGCAGTTATAGCCTGACAACAGACAGCATTATGCAGGTCAGCATGCAAACGTCTGGAGCCATCCCAGTAGAGATCTGATTACATCACTAGAAAGAGCCTTTACCAAACTGCTCCCGTTCTTAAGCAGGACCATTGTACTTAACATTTACCTCTCTTAATTACTTAGTATTTCCCATTTCTATAGGAGGAATGCCCTGTATCAAAGAGGAGGGTGTTTAAAAATCAGCCGTTTCACTGAGTTATTCTGCTCTTTTCTTTCTGCAAGGCGCACGTGAGACTACGACCGTCCAACTCTTTCCTAAAAACTACCAGGCTCTTCATCCCATGGAAGCCACAGAGCTCCACTGAAAGCTTTTCACTTGGGACCCGTCCCTAGAACGTCATTTGAGCGTGGAAAGGCCTTGGGAAGGGCCCAGGACTGCACTCTCTTCCAAGCAGCCATTTGGAACCAGAGAAATCTGCCACTTCTTAAAACTGTCTGCTCTCTCCGGCCATCTGTGCTGCTTTTCTATGCTGCCAGTGGACTCTCCTGCAGCAAGCACCGTATCCCAACGCTGGATCTTCAGACACCGCACCTAAATCTATTTGGGCTTTACCCATACGAGACACCAGGCACCTCAAGCCCACATTTCAAAAGGGTACCTTCAGCAAGGGCCGAGAGAGGTTCATATCTTGGAAGGACAAACTATCATCATACTGCGAAGCGTCTTCCTGAAAGAACTGTGTGGTTTCCTAAAAATTAGGCCAGAGAAAAACAACAGTGTGAACCCTCCAACCATATTACACAGAGGCAAATCTCTCCTAGTAGCAAAGCCAAGGTCTATTTTAACAATTCTTTGCAAAAAAAAATCACAGTGGTCTGGCATATGCGCAACACTAAAGCTATGAACAACTCACAATGATCAAGCACGGGCACAACAGCTCAAAACCAAGCCAATTTGGGATGAATTAGCAGTGCGTAAACTCATCCCATTCATCCTCCATTTTTAAGATAAATTTGTGATAGAAAAAAAATGGCCGATGGCTCTCTATCTGAGAGGCTGCACTGAGCAAAGCTGGACTTAACAGACCCTCCAAATTGGTCTGACTTCACCCCACTAACGCTCACCTCCTTTTCACCATGTTTCTGTTTCCACCGCTCCTTCAGCTTTAGCATATCTACAAAAAAAAGCAATTGCTGCGTACTTATGTTACAAAATACTACAAGAGCAATGGAATTGAGACATTCACCGTATAATTAAATAAACTACAGTACCATTTAAGTTTATGAAACAATACCAAGTATTAGCTGGTTGTCTCTGTAGACATTCAATCCAAGTTCAGTTTATGCTAGAACTTATGCGTCATGTGACACCCAAAAAAATAATCCGTTATGGCTTCGGTATACCGTATAAGGAAAGAAGTTTTCACAATATCTTGAACCTAATCGTATTTCATCGCGACCTGGTCCTTTCTACTCACTGAATATACTTGATCTCTGGCCCTGATTCAGCTTATCAAAAGCAGCAGAGGGACCTCCCGGCAAAAAGGAATGCAAGCTGGTGCCCACCCTGGGAGCCTCTCCCGGGTGGGCCTCCCTCAAGGCCAGCGCTAATTACCAGCTTTGGCGAAGACGCTCTCGTCGGCCGAGGAAGGCTCCGACTGCAGCTCCTCTTCCTCTTCCTCCTCGCTGTCTCCCCCGGCCTTTGCCTCATTTTCCCCGGTGGCCCCTCCACACTCTCTGCTTGCCGCTCCTTCTTTGGTCGCCTTCTCCTGCAGAAGGGCGACGTTCCTCCGGCTCAACCACCCGGGCCAAAGCCCCGCGCCCACCGGTCCGCCTCCTCCCCCCCCCCAAGGAAGGGAAGCGCCGCAAGACAGGCCGGTCCAAGCCGGCGCTGCGAGCGGCTTCTGACCTGAGCTCGGCGCTGCCTCCGCACCGTCGCGATTTTCTCGTCCAAGCTGGTGGCGCAGCGCTGCGGGAAGGGGGGATAAAGGGGGCCGAGAGGTGAGAGGGACGCTGCGGCCGACCCCGCTCCCGCCCCGCGTCCCCGGCGCCTACCTTGCGCTTCAGCTGCCCCAGCGCCTCCGCCCAGGCCCCGCCGCCCGGCCCTGCCGCCGCTTCCTTCTCAGAGAACGCGAAGCCCGCTGCGAAGTCTCCTCGGACCGCCGCCGCCGCCGGTTCCTCCTGCGGGGAAGGTCAGGATGGGGAGAGAGTCGGTTGGCGGCGCGAATCTCTCACCGCTGCCCTTCCGGCTCGCCGCCAGCCTCTCACCTCTGACTCCGAGTCCGTCCGCTCCTGCTCCTCCAGGCTCCGTTTGGCTCCGGTACCGGCCTCCATCGTGGCTGCGGGGAAGCACGCGACTTCCGGTCCCCTGTCCCTTCGCTCCGGTCGGAAACGTAGGACGCTCCGAAAGGGTCCCCCCGCGGCAGCGGCAGGAAGCGCTTCGGAACCTCGACATCCTCGAGAGAAAAGCAGCTCCGCAAACACCCCGGACTGCAACTCTCTTTAAGGGTCGCCGGAATGCGCGGGGCGGCCTCAGCCCTGCCGGGCGGCCAAGCAACACTTGGGAGGTTTTGCGAGGGAAAATGGCAGGAGTGCCGGAATGGGCCCCAGGAAGGCGCGGGCGGGGTATCTCAGGCTTCCGCGCCTGCCGCCTTCCTCGTTTTCCCAGGCTGCAGACAATTCGACCGGAGCCGCAGCGATGCAGCCAGTCCGCAGATTTTTTTTTTATTTTTGAGATTTCTCTGCGACGTAAAACCCGACGGTTCACTCCGGAAGGTCTCTATGCAGGAGGCCCCCGCTGGGCCCGCAAAGCTCCGAAGGGACCGGGGTTACTCAGATCCCCCTTTCGGTGCCAAAATGTCCCGAGAAGCGAGTCTCGGGGCTTCCGCCCTTTCCCTTCCCCCCCCCCTCAGGTTCCGGGAGAGGTCTCCGCCAAAGAGCCCGGAACTCCGCTCTGATCTGCCCGGCGGGAGAAGGTCGGAAGCGGCTGAACTGCCAGGCCGGGCGGGCCGGAAGAGCCCCCGCCCGGACCCTCCCGGGAGATGGACCTCCTTCCGCCCCGGAGTGGCCGGCCATGGAGGCGCTGCGGGAAGCGCTGCGGGAGGCGCTGGCGGGGCTGCCGAGAGGAGGAGGAGGCGGCGGGGAGGAGGAGGAGGGGGAGGCCTTCGACCGGGCTCGCTTCCGGGAGGCGCTGGGTGAGGTCGCGGCGGAGGGCGGGCGGGGGAGGGCAGGGCAGGGGCGGCCTCCGGTTCCCGGCCGGGCCTCCCTGACGCGGGTCTCGCTCTCCTCCCCTCGCAGCCGGAGCCTTCGGGGCCGCCTCGCGGGAAGCCACGCGGCTCAGCCTGGCCGCCGCCGCCGCCCGAAACTCCCAGGTGGGTCGCCCTCCCCCCCACCTCCTGGCTGGCGGCCCAGAGGCGGGGAGGGCAGGGGGCGCGCGCGTAGGGGGGGCAGAAGCCTGAGCGCCTCCCCCCCCCCGCCTGCGAGGTTGTGGTGCGGCCCCACTTCATGCTGAGCCTTCGCCCTGGGTGGGAGGCAGCTTTTCCCCTTGACTGGAGCGAGGCTGTTCTCCAGTCAGTTCCCCGTTTTAAGCTCAACTTGCTTTTTCCGGAGGGGGGGGGGAAGCGGGAAGCGGAGCATCCTTCACTGGTGCCCATAGTAGGGCCCCTCTAGCCATTGGAGGACCTGGATACACAGCCTTGTTGGGGACGGCAGCTTAACCTTGGCGGTTGGTTCCTTCTCCCCAGACATGCGAGAGGCTAAGCGAAGAGGTGCGCATTGCTGTCCTCGGAGCCGTCTCGGTGTCTCGCCAGCTCCCGCGAAGCCAAGGTCAGCAGCAGCATCAGTGCCGCCCCCCCCCCTTTAACAGCAGCGCAGAGAGCTTTCGGGCCATCGGCACTGACAGTTGGCCCTCCATCCCTTCTCTCAAGCTGGGGAGAGGCCCAGAGCTTCTCAGGGACGGCTGGAGGGGGCTGCTTTTATTCAGAGTTGCTTGTTAGGAGGAGTCTTGCTGCACTTTGCAAGTTAAGTGCTGCAGAGCTCCCTTTGCCTCTCCTAGGAAAGACCCTGAACAATGCTGTCCGCTGTGCCACGATCCAGGTGGTGGAGGGGATGATTCAGCTCACAGAGGTTATCCTTCGGACCCCCCAGGAGAGGTGAGCCTTCTCCCTCCATGGCTGCCCCTCTGCTTTCCCTCCCCAGAAAACTGCCCAGGAGGCTGAGTTGATGGGTGGGGTGGGGGGTCCTCGGCTGAGCCAAGCTCTCCTCCTGGCCCCAGCCTTCCAGCTGCATGCTGGCTGCAGGTCCCTGTCACGCCATTCCTCTTGCAGCCTGTCCCAGGAGCAACTTATCTCTACCGGAGGCGTCTGGGAGGCCTGCGACCGAGTTTCCTGCCTGCCGTCTGGTGAGTGGTGGGAGAGAGGTCCGGGCTAGCAGGCAGCCCCTGCTCTGGCCAGAGAATGGGCCCAGGCTGAGCCAGGGCTCCGGCCACACCCCCCCCAGAGTGCTCACCCCGTGTTCTCTCTGGTCAGACAACCTGGCAGCGGTCACGTTGGCCATCTCTTCCTGCCTGGAGCTTGTCAAGGACGCACTGGAGGAAATGGAGCAGGTGGGGAGAGAAGGGGGCTGCTTCGGGCTGCCTGGGGCAAAGGCCCAGCCACTGCCAGAGCTTGGGAGCAAAGAGAGGCCTTCTCCCCTGGCAAGAAGGAGGGGCAGCTATGCACGTGGGGAGCTTTGAGGCGGGCAGGGAGTGGGGCTGCTGGGCCTTTTAACTTGAAGACAGTGGGAAGCAGCCACGTAGGAGCAGCACCTGCATTTTATGATAAAATGGGTTGCAGCCTTCTTTTCTGTGAGTGAGCCCGTGGCAAGCCTTTAAAGACCCAGATGTGCTATTTAGCCCAGAAAGCTTCAACTCCAATAAAGAGTGATCAGAACTTGGCTTTGGTTTACCCTGAGATGCTCTTCTGCCTTCCAAAAATGCCCCCGTCAAAGTTTTGTCATTGGCCCCTCCTGTCAACTGGCAATCGCCTTCAAAGCCCCAGGGATCACGGGCAGCTGGCATGCTTACTACAAGCGGTTGCAAGCAATTATTTGAACAAATTGGGCTGTAGGTGGAGTGGAATGTAAGCCTTCTCTGGTCTGCCTAGTCCTTCCTACTGCCCAGACCCCACAGATGGGGAATCCGATTCTCGCTCTCGGAGTGGATCCTGTTTCCCCTCCTGTCTGTGGTGGTATCACGGCTTTCCAACAGAAAAGAATAGATCCCTGAGACCAGCCATTCCACAGACCTTCCCATTTGCACTTGATCTCCTCTTGGGGCCTGGCTGATTCCTCTGAGCCTTGGAATTCTGTCCCAGTCTTCACCATTGTGACCCCTCTTGGTTTCTTCAGGATGCCCAGGGTGACGCTTCTGCACCCTTGCAAGGCCATACCACATTGAAGGTGGTTGAGCCCCGAAGGTGCCCCCTTGGGTCCCCCCCCCCGCATGCTCAAAGTCCCACCCCCGGTTAGTGATTCTCCTGCAAGGGCTTCCCATGGCAGCCTTGGTGGCGTGTCTCCCCTCCCTCCCCCAGCTGCCCAGATGCTGCCATTCCCTCACACTGAAGCACTTTTGTGATAGGTTTGTGTTTGTGTTAGATGCAGGCTGAGGGAGGGGCTTCTCCCGGTGACCTGCTGGAGGATGAAATGCTGGGCTCTGCCCTTGCTTGGACCGATACCGAGCGGCAGCTGCTGGGCCCCTGCAAGGGGCTGGTGAAGGCCACCAAGGCTGGGCTGAAGAAATTGCTGGGGGCCATGAGAACCCACGGCAGAGCAGACACGGAGGAGCAGGTGGCTCAGCTGGATGCCCTGGCCGAGGCCGCAGCTGAGCTCAGCCCCAGGTGAGAGTCACCGAAGCCCCACAGAGCAGAGGAGGAGCACTGCCATCCCCGGCAGCAATGGGACCCACATGGCGAGGAGGGGACTCCTCCTGCCTCCAAGGAGTTCGCTGAAAGGTCAGGAGGTCGTTGCTGCATCTGCTCCCAACAATCACCCCTGCGAGACCCAACTTGCCTGAGAGACTCTGCATTGTGCTGGCCGTGTTTGTGCTGACCCCGTGCTGCTTTTGTGTTCTGTGTTTTAGTGTGGACGAACTGGTGCTTGGCCTCTGCCCGCCCGTGAACCAGCTCACTCTGCGGCTGAATGCAAGTTGGTCCAGGAGAGACTTGGGTGGCGTCTTCCTAGCTGCCCAGACCTGTGGGACGCCCGGTGTGATTACTCCCCTCGGTCCTCCCCACGGAGGGCGTCTCAGCTGAGAGGGTCACCCCAGGCTGCTTTGGGGCCACCTGCAAGGGAAACGGAGCAAGCCTGTCCCACAGTCCTGAGAGTCTGCCTTTGGGGAAGGACCCAGCGGAGGAGAGCCTCTCCTCCCCATGGGCCTGGGCAGCCAGGATATGTCAGCGAGGATCCCTGGAGGCAGGCTGTTAATCACAGCTAAAGCCCCCGGGGACCCTTGGCAGGGTGTGCTTTTGGGGGGGGAGCCTCATGGTTGCTAGGCTCCTTGCTCACTTGCTGATCCCTTTTCAGGCTGGGAAACTGGCTTCGGTGCTAATGAGGATGCTGGAAATCGCCAGGTGAGGGAAACCGGTTCTGGACTTGCCCTGGGTCTCCAGGGAGTGTCTCTCTGGGTCAGTTGCCTGGAGGCCAGGCTGGCAGGCGGCCGACTTTCCATCCCGGCAGAGGAGCCTGAGCTGCCTGCTGGGCTGGGCTGGGCAGGGCAGGGAGCCGAGTCCGTCCCTTCAGGGCTGCCATCTCGTTTCCCGCAGGACGAGCCACGTCTGCCCTCCCTCCGAAGGGAGCTGGGTGCAGTTCCTGGCTGGAGCAGTGGATCACAACCTGGGCAAGATCAAGGACTCCACCCAAGGCCTGCTGGGAGACCCTGGCCCGGCAGGGGAGGGTCTGTGCGTGGGAGATGCTCGGCCGAAGGAGCAGCCGTAGCACTTCTGTTCCAACTGCGGGCAGTAAAGGACCCTTGGCCTTTGTGCAAGAAGCTTGGAATGCTTGCAGTGTGGTTATTTTTCTAGCACAAGCACACACACACACACGGCTCCGGTTCCAGAGAGGCTGTGACTTGGCACGGAAGCGGTGACCTAAGTGGCAAGGACAGGGGTGGTGAGGGTGGGCAGGGGCACGTGCAGAGGACCAGGGGGCCTGGGTCTCCAGTTTTCCACCCCATCCTTCCTAGCTGACCAGGGGCAGCTACCAGGTGGGGTGGTCAGTTGTGGCTCTGGCCCACCAGAGGACCCGGAGTGGCTCCCTGCTGGCCTTCTCCTTGTGGGGGCAGCTCCTCGGGGAAGGCAGCGCCCAGTGGCCGGGGGAGCTGGAGGGGACGGTCCAGGGGCGGGTTTGGCCTTCTGTAGCCCCGGCAGGGGAGGGTCTGTGTGGCATGACTGCCTTTGCTCTGGGTGGGGCGGGGGGAATCGCCACAGGAGCCCTCCGCTCAGAACCTTGA